CCAAATAAACGTAACGAAAACAAACTGTATTAGAAATGCCTTGCGCAATATAATATCTATATTTTGTACGGGAGCAATCCTTTTTTATTTTTTTTTTCCAAAAAACAGCTCGGACGCATTGCGCAAGGGTCCATGTTTAGGAAAACTTGGAATTAGATAGTTTTTAGTAGCGGAAAATTCAAAAATTATTGATTCAATAGCATGAGACGTTCGTTCGTTGAGAGAATTTTATAGTTGTTGTGATCGAGGAAGATGGCTGTTATTGCGAAATTTGGGTGTAGAATTTTCTTGTTTTAGCCAGACGACGAGCGGAGATTGGAAGTGCTTAATTTATCTTTATGTGAATTGCACAATATCAGTGACATAGTGCACTGGGCGCTGGCGCACTGTCCAAATATGCAGTTTTTGGATTTGACAGCAGTAGCGTTAGTCGATTCTTCGGTCATCGAAATTTGTTTGAAGGAAAAAGCTGATAAGGTAATTTTGTTATTAAGCCACTTCGCCTAACCGTTTATTTTAATCGGATCTACCTTACCGTGCATCAGTGTATCTTAATCTAAAACTGTTAATATCACTGAGCTTCTTATTCCAGCATTCACTGAATGAAATAGACGACATATCATTGCATCGTAGTGCCACCGTTTTTTTTTTTTATTTTGTTCCATTTCATGTAATTTACGAAACGCATAGTGGGATAAATTGAAAAACTTCATATCCGCATTGATCCGCTTCCTTGACTGATATTTTCTAAAATCATTTTTTGTTTTCATTGCTTTCTCGGCTCCTCTAGGATTTTTAGCTATAGATTTCTGAGTTGGAGTTAAGACGTCTGCGCACTGTGATGAGTGGATGCATTTAGAAGTAACCCGACTGGCAGTACATTGCTAACAGTAGCCACTGCTGGAAGGGTAACTGTGGATTTTTTTAAACTTAGTTCTGTTATTAATGCACTGCATTTTTTTCTTTTTTTTTGCTGGTAGGAATTTCAACCGTTTTCGTTTCCAGGCTCCGATTACAACATTTGCACTAGCCGACTGCAGGGATTTGGAAGGTGAAGCCGAAAGAGTCAGTGAAATATTTGGAATAATGCTCGCAGCAAACAGTACTGCCCGATTTCAGTTAAGTAGGAGATTTCGTAGTGAAATTCAACAGTGCTTACCCGATGGATTCAAATTTTGCTTGAAATAATTCAGGAAATGTATATTGACGGAATTTTTTTTTTTTTTTTTCTGGAAATGTGATTTCTTAGAAGACATATTTTCTAAGTGCTACCCGGTTTCTTGCATTTCTGTTCACTTCCTTTCGAAATTTTTTTTTTCGCTTGTAAAATAGTTGTGTTTGATAGGCTCCTTGCGTTGGGATAGTGTCCCATTTTCTGCTTTTTGTTGAAATTTCTGCGCCAAAAAATCTACTTTTTATTAAAAGATAACAATTCAAATATATGTATTTCCGAGTTATAAAAAATCT